AACATTTCCTAAAATAATATTTTTGTTTAATTGAGCCTATACTTTATAATTGACTTTCTTGCATTGACTTTTTGAAGTGAATACAATTATGGTGGTCTAAATTCCGTATTTTAATGGAAGAATGAGACATTTTTGCGTTCATTCGATACATTTTTCTTAACCGCAATTTAGCAGAAAAACAATAGCAATGTTTGTTAGAATAGTATTTTAAAAAAACACAGTAATGTGCGGTAACAAGTTAAGCTCTGCCGATCATACAGGTCGCTGACTTGTGAAAACGTCAGCCAACCATATCAGATAGATTTTGTTCCTACCATTCTTAAGCAAAAATATGAAAATTTTCTATATAATATTCATGGAAGAGCTTTGAGGAACTGAGTACAGTCATTTTTATCATGTTATGTTTATGTTGTTATGTTAGAACGCGGAACAAGCCAATTTAATTTGGACATGCTACGTAAAACAGTTTACCGTGTGAATGTTCTAACCAACTTTACAAACCAGATTAGAGTTATTAATGACAGTACGCGTTTAACGAAATTTCATTTGTTGAAAATTCAAACAAATATTAGAAAACACATTCTTTAACACCAAACTGTCATCAGTTTTAACTAAAATAAATGATTGAGCCATTGGTTGACTTGAAAACCCTCATTATTCACACACATTTCAGCTCTTTTAAGGAGGACATTTTTACCTTTCCTACATTTTGAACTGAAATATTTTGGAAACTTTGCAGGAATAATCCGGCTTTCATGTCGTGTGCTAATGTTGCTACCTGTTTGTAAACTTCAGCCTTATCATGACCCCATAGGAAAAAGTCAATTGGTGTCATGTCAGGTGATCTAGGTGGCCATTCAAATGCACTACTGCGCCAATCGTCAATGATATAAGTAATTTCTTAGATGAAAATGCATTTATTAAATTCTTTTGCAATCGATCTGCTCTGAAACGTGTGATTCAAAGTTTTGACAATTTAGCATTTCCTGAAAGCTTGTGGAAATTAATATTTACGAGGAGTCACGCTATGTTACTACACACAGTGTGTACCTAATTCCTACATACAGACATAATTCGAAAATTTTATTTCCGATATTTTGAAAGCGCGTGACTGCGGGCTCTGTTTTATACTTCTGCGTGGAGTTGAATAACGTTGCATGTACTACAGCGGTTTGCGCAGTCAGGTGTTTGTTATCACCCAGAGGTCCTCTAAGCATTAATAAACTCCCCATTTCCTATCTGTTTAAATAATTAGTATGAGTAGTTCATTAGCATGCCGACACGGATGTGACTATTTAAATTCAATATATTTTAGTCGACATAGTAAAGCAATCTTCAAAGCGTCTGACTTATGGTTCGTATAGGTGTAGGTAATTCGAATAAATTTGTCCAAAATAAATTACTTTGCGCAGTGAAATAATCGCTGGTATTTGGGAACGGAACATTAATAACTACTTCGCAGGCGATAAGGAACACGAAAAGCCAGATGACTTGAGCTGGCAAGAATGAACCGGAATTTTGCATTGTAGGAGTTTAGAAGGCTAGACGTTTTATGTCACCTACTACCATTATTTATTATGCCCGTACTAAATAACTTTACCTGTCGTTTCAAGGGCAATAAAATACTGTCCTCTCTTGGGCCTTACGTATGTAGGTAGAAATGATGCTGTAAAACATCTCGGATCTAGAGGGTGTGGCGAAAGCCTGCAGTGTCATAAAAAATCTTGTAACAATAGGTTGTCGGGTAATGTCATAGACCTGAAAAAATATTCAGGAATGCATTTTTGCAGAGGCGGACTAGTTAAGATATGCCATACCCATGCTCGGAATCAACCCCGGCATTAGTCGCTACATGAGCAATTTGCTCACATTCTCGGCAAAAATTAATTTCCTCTTAATCTTCTAGTTCAAAAAATATTTCGTTTATAGTCTGATGGAATATTGAGTCCTAAATGATGATAAAAAACTGTCGCGAACGATGAGCACACAAGCCAAAACACAAAATCCAAGCAATCGAGAAAAGACGACGAAACTTTAATAGAACAAGTTTCGGTTGCAGGGAACATTAATTTGTATTATAGCAATGATACAACGTTGCGTTGCACAAGACACTCACATTTAGCTGCTGTAAAAATGTAACTAGCGCTAGCAGAACTTCCTTCAAATATACGAAAAGCTCTTTTCCCCCAAACTATAATTGAAATATTTATACGATCCATCATAAATTACCCACGTCTAAAACGTCAACGTATCGTTCGGGAATGGAATTGCAGACACTAATTTTGAATAAATAAATTGCTGATATGATAAATTATGAAGAGATTGCTTTATTCAGCAGGAATAAAAATGTCAATATTGATGAACTATAGAACAACGAGCGGAAAATGCCGAATGTTCCAGTGTTACAATCAGTAAGAGGAGGACAGTTGATTAAAACGCTAAATAATTAATTATTTCGTTTTGATAATAATGATGACAGTGAAAAACAAAGAAAATTAAAATTGAAAATTTTGCTTGTATCAAAACAGTAATATAAGCTGGTGATTTTCTAAAGCTTTTATCCGTCGAGGAAAATAAATTTCCTTCTGATTCCTGGCGTTTCACAAACACGAGTGGCTGGCATCCTCAGAGGTGGTAACGAAATGTTGGATGCCTTTAAAGGACGTTCTATGTTCTTGCAGTACATTTATAATAAACCAATAACGTACTCCATCAAAATTTGCGCAATGGTTCCACAACTTCAATTTGAAAATGTATCCAGGCAAAGGCCAGAATATCCATTCAATATCGAGAACAAAGCTTGTTGTTAGGCCTGATTATCTAGAGCTGGAGCCTCCGGCTATTTGGAATATTAAAATGGGAGAGTATTTAAGTTCTTATGAAGATACTTGCACAGCTACCGAAACAGGCGCAGGTGTATAAAACAATCAACTAAGTGGTAACAGTCAATTCGTGTATTGTCATGCGGTATTAAATACCATCTGAAATATTGCTGTAGATTCCTATTCTACTTCTGTGTCTTAAGCATGGAACCTCCTGGTCATTACATAACCAGTTCAAACCGATTCCTCCCGAATTCCTCAACGCCAAAGAAAGAAAGCCTTCTAGTAGTATATGTTAAGGGTTTTCCGAGAATGATGTACTTGTGTATGTGGTTGATGAGATGAAAATATTATATTCAGATTGGAGCGAGGACATTAAAATGAAGAGAAATTTTGTCCAATATGGCGTCAACGAAAAAATAGATGGGCCAAAACAAATATTTGCATTGCGCAGAATTTGCAATGAAAATGAACCTGGCAAAGACTAACAAATTATTGTAATTTACTTTAATTTTGTTGTTTTAATAACGAATTTTATAAATTCCTGTGTTTCTATAACTCATTTTTATAGGAAATTTCTGGAAGTTTCAGGATTTTTCCATATACTAAATCGAAGGAATGATGATGACAAATATATCGAGTTAAAAAAATAAAGAAAACTTGATTTTAATATAACGGTAGCACGTTCTCGCAGAGCGATCGAGAAATGAGATCTATTTTTTTAAATAATACTGCTAATATATTTTAATAGTTGATGATCGACAATCGAATTTCTTATGATTTAAATTGAAAATATTACTTTTCGAACTCTTAAACATCAGGGGTGATTTAGACTTAGTTTGCCTTAACTTATTTGCGTAACTTCAATTGTTTGATTCAGGAATTTACTTTATAGTTCTATAAACGTCTTTAACTCCATTTTAATAATATTACTCTCCTTGCTTGTACAAGATTAACACTGTTGTCTACCTTTTTAATCGATCTTCTGTTAATATATTCGTTATAAGTTCGGAATTATTTCATAGATTAGACTTAGAAGTAGATTTCGTATCTATTTAAAAACAAACAATGAAACTGATTTTTAGCGCAAATAAGAATAAACATATTAAACCACTTTTTATATATCACTTAAAATAACCCAACGAATACCAATTTTATAAAGTTCATGCGTTACAAAATACCCAAGTCCAAGTTAAAGCACTAGCTGTATTTTATAATATCCTGTCCTACTTAAGTATTGTTCAATGCCCAAAAGAATGTCGGCATGGTCAAAAAATGTAAAGATGCTATATAGCGGGAAGTCAAAGAAAAAGTAAGTTTTTATTTGTGGTTCGGTCTGCTGGCCAAGCGTGTCAAATCAAGGATGAAATATAAAGAGTTTTAACAACCAATTTGATGTGAGAGAAAGAGTCTGCCTTGTCATGACGATTCTAGAACTATTCGGTTTAAATCTAATTATGTTTGGGGAAAGATTTTCGACCATTTTCGTCGTGGCTCCTTCATTTCACGTAATAAATCAATTTTGCTCGATAAACCTGCCATATAAATTCATATTTAATTTTTCAGTGACGCTCACTTAAAAGTACAATATTCATCACTGTCAATCAAGACCGTTAAATATTTTAATGTGGTTTGATAATGACTTTAATACTTAATTAGCAAGTGCGAGCAAAAGTGTTTAGTCATTTTCATACCATCATTGCGATTGAGAATGAACAAACTAACGGTCCAAAGACATTAGTGGTTGAATCGAATTATACACATTTTTAAAAACTCATCAGCTTTTATTTGATTATTTATTTTCAGATTAGCCTTCAACACCTGACACATTTCTTTATATGTTTTCAGTTTCTACCATAGAAGCGTCGTGCTATTTCTCGCAACAATTCCAAGGAGAGTATATGATGCAAAACTCAGCAAATGCTGGAGGAGGAATTCAATACAGCACACTCACCATCACTCCCAATTCCATATCACTTTGGGGAAACTGCCAGAAGAGAATAAATAACAACGTTATTTTGATGTTCAAGTAAGTTTTAAGTATTTTTTATTGTGTGTGTCTTGAGACTCAATGAACTTTTGAGTCAACTTTTCAAAAATATATTTTTAAATAAAAAATAATAATTCCTAATGGTTCAGGAGTTAGGCTTTCGCGGCCATTGCTTGCAACTAGTGAATTTTTCGGACTTTTAGGTCGTCGTAGAAACGTTCTTCCTGACGCTTGGCAAGCATGAGAGGCACCTCAACCACACCTGAAGATGCAAGCCACTCGTGCCTGCGAAACGTCAGGAAGAACTTCTTTTCTACGACGGCCTAAAAACCCGAAAAACTCATCACTTCCATCTCATAATCACTTCTTACAATTAGTTTGAGATATGTAACTAAAACCATGCAAAATTTTCAATTTAATGTCATGCAAAATATAGTTGAAGACTTTTCAATATGTGGTGGCTTACTGCACGACTACGGTGAACGTGCGTTTCCGTCTTAATATAGTAAAATATGAACATTTTGATTATTATTTCAGTTACGGTAACACCAGTTGTTACACGTGTCTACATCTGAAACTGCGGTCAACCAATGTACTTCAAGTGTTTGCTTCTAGTCAAGAAATAATATCAAAATGTTTTACAAATGAAGGATCGGCGGAAGCAAACTGTCCTTCACAAGAATCCCTCCAAACGCGTGGTGAAACAGCGGAAATATTATTGTTCAGTAAGTAATTTACATACGTAGCTGCGGTGATTCAAAACAATAGACATTAATACCTAATTAGAAGCAGTTTCTGTCGTCTTTAATTGTATTTTCTAGAGAAAAAAAAAGAAGTTACATGCTAAATCCCGCAAGCAGTTTTTAATCATGAAATGTAAGCAATTCCTTATTGCATAATAAAATAATGATTCAAATTTATTAGCATTCGGTATGGGCATACAATAACTGATGAAGTATTGTAATTTGTTAATGGATTTAAGTTTCACTATTATGACCTTTCTTAGTTACTCACCCGATTTTATAGAAATGGGTTTTTTCAAGGCGAGTTGATATTATGAATATGCAAACATACAAATCAGATTTCTTAAAAATATACTGTAACCGAACGCTCTTATTAACATCCATCCTGCAGTATGAATATATACATATTCAAAATTAGAATAAAGGAAGCAGTTACCTACGTTATTTATATAATATAATTATCACTGATTAGATTTCCTTACTTTAATTGAGATTGGCAAAAAACGCTACAGGTGGAAACAAACAACGCAATTTTAACATTAAACTTGTTCAGCTAGCACTTATCTCAAGGAAATTGAATATATAATAAATTTCCAAAAGCGGGCATTGGATATTCAGGTTCACTAACCATGGATGTTGTTTAAATCTGAGAATTTACTGTTTAGCTTCTTATAGAAACAAGTCTGTCAATAATCCAAATTAATTAATAATTTGATTTACAGAAACCAGGGATGATCAAGGAGTATTCACTCAGAAGCAATATTGTCCAATTGATGGAAAATATTACACAAGTTATAAAGGAAAAAATCCATTGAGATCCCAAGAATGTGTGGGGTATAATTCCACAGTGGATTCTTGCCCTTCCGGATCAACCTTAAATTTTAGACTCAGAAGTTGTACTTTCGACAGCTACGGTAAATGAACCTTGCCCCATATGAGTTTACAATATTTAATATGACATTATTTTTGTAGATTTAAGATTTGAATGTCTGGGACATTGGAAAGGTCCGAGGGATGAAACTTTCTTAGTTTTTACCGACAGTCGACACTTAGAAGGCCAAAAACCAAAATTCCGATGTGCTGTGAGTTTTCAGTTATAATTAATAATGACTTAAAGATCATTATGAAAAAATATTAATGGTTACGTTAAATAATGCTTATTACCAATTTTCTTATAATCTCTGTTTCAATTGATGTCGAATTTTAATTCTTTTTTTTTTAAATAATCAAATGGTTTTCGAGAACACAATGTTACAGTGATGACAATGACGATATTAATTGCTAACAATTTTTAAATTCCGTTTTAATTATCACTCTTACCTACTAATTGAAAATACCGACAAACCAACTGATTATTATCTTGTTCATATTTTACTGTTTAAATAACTTTAGATCGTCTAAAAAAAAATCCGAACTGATTTATTATTAATAAATTCCGTTATTGAAGGACACTTTCAATGTGTATTTTTCCATAATTACATTTTTTATTTGCGTGTGCATATTTATGTGCTAGTGAGTGTATTAGTTTAACAAATATACACCGTGTACAATTGTTTTCCGACACAAAAAATATCCGATAATAATTTGCATTAAAAAAAAATGTACTAAAAAATCAGCAAGTACGTTATTAAGATATTGCTCAATTTGCAGCTCTATAAGCAAGATAGAGAAAGTGGAAAAATTGATATGGCGGTAAGCAGGGACTCTACTTGTACCTCTGACCTGTATAATGCAACAAATGGTTTTGAGACTTTTGTTTTGGCTCCAAAAACGGAGAATCGCTGGCCACCAGAGGTGAGCATTGGAATTTGCAGTTTTCCTAAATGGATGGTCGGTACATGGGAATATGTAAGAGTGGAAGGAGACACCATGGTATACAAAGATCATACCTCATTTAAAACTTACACAATTAAATGTGTTGGAGTGCAAGAAGGTGGAGAAAAGTACCTGATATTCAGTAGAACTCAGTGGTAGGCATATATTCATCTTAGTTTTGGTTTCATATTAATTCATTCATTTCCATGCTTGTAGCGACGAAGAAGTTTTTAACTGCATGAGAATAGCGAGCAGAAGCAGAAATATACTGGAATTTCAATTGGGAACTAATTCCAGCAATAACAAAGACGTATACACTTTATGTTCTGATGAAAATTTTGATGATAATTCATGGGTTACACAAGGCAGTACGTACATATCAGACTTATATTTTTTTACTCTAACAAAACACATAAACAAAATAGGGTGATTATTTAATAAGATTGGAAACTGTTCCGTTTTCCAGAAAATCAACAATAACTGAAAAACGAGTAAAAATACTAATAAAAAAAGGTCATTTAGGGATACAGGATGATCCATGTTAAACTGAAAACATTTGATCTTATCAAGAGTTTTTTTTTCGGTTCGTACTTGGAGCAAATAAACGTTTGCCAATTTAGACTGTCGCGAAAAAAATATTATTTCTGGCGTTTCGAAAGCCGGAGTGCATCATCGATTTGTTGCGTTAGAAAGAGCACACTGATTTCTAGCATCAATCCAGTGTGAACTTTCGAGAAAAGCACATTGCTTAACATCAGGAAGAAATTCTTTTGCACGACGGTTCTACAGCCCAAAAAAATAACTAGTTTCACACTTGAAGTTGTTAAAGCATTAAGTTTATAGAATCAACTGTAAAAAACACAAAAAATAAATACAACTATTTCCAAATATATTAAACAAACAAAATGTTTAAACAATTCTATAAGAGGCATAATAAAGTTGTTTAATTTTTAGAACTTGATATATCTTCAACAAAGCAAACTGGCTTATGTCCAATAACTGGCGAATATACTGGTCATATACCAGATGCTCCTGAACTATGTGCTAAATTATGGTCAGATTGTCGAGCGCCTGATCTAATGTACTATCAAGTCTCTGATTGTTCTGGAGAGATTTATGAAGAACGAGAGTACCAGTGTTTAGGGCATTGGCAAGAATCAAACTTATTGTATACGTATACTGAAAGAAGAGATGTAGCTGATGGAACATATGAATGCTTTGTTGGGTCAATCCTTACAGATAAGGAAATTAATATCAAAGAAGCTGGTGAACATTGCCAAAGAAATATAGACCCTCTTAAATATGGGATGAAATTGACGAAAACGAAATCAATTTATTCTTGTGTGGATCGTACTACGACAAATATGCCACAATTTGGCCCTCCAATTCCGACCAGATTTAGTACTAACAGTCCAAGACGTACTACCAGTAAATCGATTGGTAAGTAATTTAAAATTTCAACAACAATGACTTACAGTGCCACTCAAGTTGCTCCAGTGCATCATAACAGAACAACTAATATTCGATTTTCTGAAAAAAACTGAGCGTTAATATCGTTGATACGTATTAGTAATCTCAACTAGTTACTGCAAATATTTACTATATGATAAAAACAATGCTAATAGCATATGATGAACGTATTTTTATTATTTTTCATATTTTCAGATTCTAATGAAATTCCAGAACTTCCAAAGAAAAACAGTAGTGCAATTCAAACGCTGTCCGTACCTGTTTTATGTGGAATGCTGTTGATACTCGTAAATCAAATTTGAATGTAATTTTTCATATTTACTTACCTTTCCTTAGGAAATTATATAGATATTTCCAAAGAAAATGTAACGAAATGCGGAAATTTAAAGCGAAACAAAAATGTAAAGCAAGGTTGTATAATTATCACAGTTTCTATTCTATGTGTGATATGTTTGCTCATTAATTTTCATAACACTCAACGTTAATTCGGTTCTAAGATAAAAATAATATAAAACCAAACCAAGAGATCATATGAGACTGTAATGCGGTTGGGTTTAAGACGTAGAAATATAGAACTTTATCAGGTAGAAAAAAGTTTAATCCAACATTTCCGTTAATTTGTAGATTTTACTTATCACTAAGTGCATTTTAAAATATTATAGACTATGTTCTTGCCAAAATAATAAACTTGTAAATACTATATTTAAATCAAATTATTTATTGGTTTTCTGAGTAGAATAAGCATTTTCCTTAATTTAACAAGTAACTCTCTATAATTTAACTAAGGATATAATAGCTGATGGTTTAATTCAAAAATACAAAAGCTATATATATCTTTAGACCCAATGCCAAATTTTACGCACTTTTAAATACATGTGTATAATAGTTTTATATATGACCAGTTTTAGGTTGTAAGGCTTATTTCCTAAAAGATGTACTGTGTATTGGTACAAACATGTATTTATAACCAAAACAAATGCATGTGATGTCTAAATTTAAACTTATTGTGATGTATATTTATAATTTACTCAGACCAGATATGTATGTAATAAAATTATGTCATTTTTTTCTAAGCAAGTGTTTGATGTCTTCCCTATGATAACTATGGGTGATAATAATTCTATCGAAAGTAATTTAATTTTTGACAGTTTTCGGGGTTGGTTACTTCCATTACATTGATTTCATAGGATTTACGAATTAATAATTCTGTTGTCGAATTATATTTACTGTAAATTATGCGGCAGATAAATGATCAAGGTATATACATATATTTCCAAAATGTGTTTTGTGTAACTTGCTACTAGACTATAATGCGTACTTCAGATGAGACATTATGAAACCGTAGGTCCGAAACGGGAAAAGGCGGGTTAGAAGAAAAGGACTATGAAGTAACTGCAAATATAAACTATATTCCTTCAATTTCAATTTCGTTTCATCCATGTTCTAAAACCCTATACCATAAAGTTGCCTACATAAAACTTATTAACCATCAAAATTATGTACTGTATCAACAAAAGTTTGTACAGAATCAATTGGAGCGTCTGGATAAATCCCATGTCCCAAATTAGCAATATATCTACCGTTTCCAAACTCTTCCAGCATTGTTTTAATGTAATTCTCCAGATCAGCCTTTGAAGCGTAAAGGGCTGAAGGATCTAAATTACCTTGGATAGTTATATTTTTATTCTTGAGAATATTTCTCACAAATTTCGGCTCCACTGTCCAATCAATTCCAAGGACTTCATATCCTAAATCTGCCAGTTCTTCAAGACAATACCAACCACCCTTTGCAAATAGAACCTTAAACAGGAAGAAGTAATTGAACGCAAAATAATAATGCTGAACAAAATCCAAAAGGGACAGATAATATATTAGTTTGTACAGTAACAATGATGACAGATAAGTTCTGGGAAAAAAACGTTTGTTTGATTTGTTCTCTTAGTTATTGCTGTTTGGATCCGATAGTTTCTGTTCTAAATGATACTGATGGGCGAAAAAGTTCAGGGTTAGTTTTTGTTTATTTTACTTGGTCGTCGGTTCAGTGCACCGAAAACGCTAAAATATATATGAGTCCCTCGGTTCTTATTATTTAAGCAAAGTAATAGGATAACAGTTTAGCAGTATCTCAACCGTTTTCAGGTACGAATACCACCTAATAGTAAAAATGTAAACTTGAAATATCCGGACGTTTATGAGACAATCTATTGAGCCTATTTTAGTAAAGATTTCTAATAATTTTTTGTATTGTATTCGGTCAAAACCATATTTGTAAAGTATGCATAGCTTTCTTTCCCTTTAGAGGATTCTGTGGTTTTGCTACCAGCATAGTCATGGACGCTATAGGATAGAGATCAATTTTGTGAAGATTGAATTTTTTTACTGAAAAAAGAAATGACAGATATGTTTGAAACTGGCAAAACACGGTCAACATTTAGACCGGCCAAATGTGAATGGATGTATGTAAGTCAGAATTCAAATATGATTTACAGTAAAACGCTCAACATTGTAGCAGACAATATGAACATATGAAAAATATAGTTACCATGGGAACTTCTTGCAGATTTTTTTCTTTTAGTTTTGTTCGCACATCCTGTGAAATGCGTTTCAAGTATGGTAAGCAAAAAGTTGCATAAAGCTGTTTATTTAAATATTCCGCATTGCTATCAAATATTTGCACAATTTGAGCTCCGTATTCAATCTGCATTACTAAATAGTCAATAATCACTTCTGTCAAAGTATTTATTAATGCATGGGACTCCTCTGGGAATGCATAGAGCCATTTTTTCGCTTTCGAGTAGGTTTTAGATCCACCCCCTTCTATCATGTAACCCATCAAGGTCCACTGCAAATGAATAAACAAAGAGTTAAGTTCATATTCAAACTGTGCCAATGCTAATCAGCTTTTACCGGTGCTCCAGAGAATCCAAATAGGGGCACTTTACCTTCCAATTTATGTCTGGTCAAATTAATTGCATGACCAACATATTCCAATTTTTGGGCCGTCCCGTTAGCACTTAACGTTGCCGCTTTGTCAAGGGTTAAAGGCTCAGGCAATACGGGGCCCTATAATTTTCAATCTTCGTTCACATTTACAAATACAATACTATTAAAACTAAACACTAAATCGTAAGTTTGCAGAGGTTTATACGGGGTTTGGTAACTAGATGCATTCCTTGCAGGGGGTGATAGTGCAAGTATTATTTTCAAACAATAAACATAATTCAAATTCCTGTTCAATTTGGAAGAGAAAAGGTCTCTTGACTTTTTGTAGTAGTAAGTTTACATTAGTTGAAAAGCTAAAACGCATGTATTTTAGACGCTGCGTCTAACGTTGAGACTGGAACAAGTTCCATCCTCGGCGACTACTAGTAGCGGCTAGTAGCAGCTACAAAAAGTAGATCGTGTGCGCGACTGTATTTAAAATAATGAGTAACATTTTCAGCGTCAAAACTGCCCCTTAGTGGGGTCCCTTAGTAGCATAGTGTCACAGTGGAAAGTTCGCTCGCCGTTGAACAAAGAGAAATTACATCCTTATCATTATACACCGATTCAAGACTTGCTTGAAAAAGATCTTTCAAAGAAAATGGGCCCATTTATGTTAAACGCCAATATGGAGGAGTCAACTTTTCTCAGTAGAACTTTGTGAATCGACGAATCACATTTTAATCGAGAGGGGATAACCAACTACCATAATTCCCGTTTAACGTCGAACCGCAATTACGAAAGGCGGTTCAGTGCTAATGTTTGGTGTGGTGTAATAAACGATCAAAGACAATCAAATAAATGAGCAAAGATACGAAGACTTTCTTATTAATCACCTGCCACCACTACTGGAAAATGTGCCGCTCAATATTCGTCTGAACCTGATCTTCTAGCATGACGGATGTCCTGCACATTATCGGCAAACTGTAAGGGTACTTTGATCATCGTTTTCCGAATCGATAGTTCTCCGTTAGACTTTCACGTATGGACCTATAGGGCAGGATGAAAGAGTTGATTTATGCCAGGGAAATATGTACAAGGGCGGAACGGAAGGATTTTTGTCCAGGGTAAGCCGGACACAAATAAGACGGGCACATGCATGCGATAGAAGAAGGGAACTTCATTTTGAGCAAGGTCTTCAAACGTTATCCTTTAGAATTAATGAATAACATAATAATTAAAAAAAAATAAATACCTATAATTTTTTAATTAAAAATTTAGTAGATCGAAAACTAATATTTTTCGGTATATGGTCTATTAAGGAAACATATCCAAAATTACTTGCACTATCACCTCCTGCAAGGAATACATCTACTTACCAAACACCCTGTATATTGTCATAAGCCAACTGTTTTAACAAATAAGTATAACCATTAGACTTATGGATATTGTTATTTTGTTAAATTTTCAAGTGTAAGTTTACTAATGCTGCCTCCTCATACAATTAAGCAAATTGGGTTTCAGCGCAGATGAAGTGAATTATCTCACTTTTCATGCAGATATTGCATTAAAGCGTTACATTGGTAATGTATGTATAGGTATATACATAATAGGTATGTCTTACTGCACATTCACCTCTTTCGCTAGATAGGAATTATTACAGCGTTTTCCCAGGCCTGTGAGAAAAACTGCAATTTAAGGACTGGGTTGATATTTGCACTGATGTTAGCCAGGGGCGTGCGGTCCATGGAAGCAAGGGAAGCATTGCTTTTGCTAGAATTCCCTAGAAGTCGGCCAACCGAAAGTTTTGAAAAATAGCCTTATTATTTTATTTTATTCATTGTGTAATAAACCGCAATATTCTAACTAAAAGGGTCGATCCTCCATAACAAATTAGGCAATGGCAATACCGCACAAATATTTAGCGCAGTATGCAGCAGACGAAATTAAATACAAGAAGGAAGAAATATTGTAATCATAAGGTTCTTTCTTTGTCAGACCGGTCATCAGCATACAGCCTGCAACAGACCGTAGGTGCATAGCGCGTAGTGATCCGTCGCAGTCCGAGCTTCAGTCTTGTCTTGATCTTGTCTTCATCTATGGCTTCAGTATGCAATATTTCCGACTGCTTTTCGGTCTTCATATGAAATTTTCGGGGTGAAAAGAAAAAATACAAAGGTCAAGTTGCGAGTTGGTCCATAAGGAATGGATATGGATAAGCCGTTGTGTGGATACCCACTGTGCGCATTCACCTCACGTTTGCTTTTGCAGTTCGTAGGAGTCCGAAAAATATTATTTTTTATTTCAATAAACATGGTAGCATGTTCTTCGACTGATTTTTCGAGAAGTGATGTATAATAGTATATGACATAAAATAATAAAAGTTGTAGGGAGCACTCTACGTGCAAATGGAAAAGTTTGCGTTACCACCCCATTAACTAAAAGACAATTTTGTTACATTTTTGAATATACCATTTCTCACGATTGAAATGTTGACAGCAGCCCAGAATTACAAAATTTTATTTAGATTTAAAGACATGTATTAAAAAATTGAAATGCTATACCTTCATAGACAAATATTGTCTATTCGGTGCATTTTCCAGAACAGTTTTAATGTTCCTTGCATACAAAATCTTGGACTTCGATGCTTTTAATACCATCAGGCATTATTTTAAGTAGGGTTCTAGTATTTTGGTATAAGTTGTCGTGTTTATATTGTGATGAATGTTGTTCGTAACTCAGAATTAAAGAATCACATCGGAGAAGGTGTTTCATCTTACATGACAATTCTTGGAAGTAAGCTAACAATACATTATCCAAGAAAAAAACTTCAAATGTGTCACTTCTTATTTTTGACGAGGTTTTGTTGGTAGCATGTAGTTTGTAGTGGCTGTCTGCTATCTGTATAATATTTGGGGTGTTAAAGTTTCGCTTAACATTTGATTAATAGACATTTACTAACAGTAAGGTTGCGTTGAGATTCAATTTACTAATTTAACAATATTATTTGACGAATAATATCTCGGCTAGACAGAAATTAACCGTAACAGAACTGTACGTTTGATTTACAATGTGTAAAATGTAACTTACTCAGATTGTAGGTAGTGTGGTTTTTACCACTCTAAGTAGTGGTGGTAGGTATAGTGTATTTAAAAATTGCTTCCCTTCTTTAAAATTTCACCGATGTTAGCACAATAGTTTTTCGCTAGTCGCATTCAAGGAGCAAATAGGGATTCCACTTGAGAAATTGACTCTTGTAATATTTTAAATCGCTGTTTGCGCTGTTGTGCAATTTAATTCGAAAATCAATGTAAATGATTAAGAGAGCATACTGTTAAATGTGAACACATATAAAAGTTCATTCTTTGTACCAAATATCGTGAATGATTTTACTAATATATATCGCAATTAAAATGATTCCGCTCTACGTGAGCTCAATAAACAACGCATAGTAGATAAATATTTTAGTCTGAGATAGCCTTGTGGTTGTTCCCTTATCATTATCCGGTCTACTTTAAAATATTGATGTTAACTAGTTATATTACAGTCCTGGCTTTGAAAGCCCTATTTTCTGGTTGACAATATTTCAATTATCCAGTTTATAACACTCCATACATATGTATTATATTGCCCTGACTTACCACACCAGCGCGCATTTCTACTTCCATACCAAGAGCCTGAGGAATAACCAGGATATCGCTGAATATAATTGCTGCATCTAATTCAAATCTACGTAAGGGCATCAGAGTTACTTCAGAAGCATGTTCAGGATTCTGACATATTTCGAAAAAACTATGCTCCTTCCTGTACTGTAGAAACTCTGAAAAAAATTGCACACGATACATTAGTGTCTTAGTACTACTAAAAAAACTTGCAATATTAACTGCATAATTAGTACTATATTAGGATTTACCCGGTAGATATCGCCCAGCTTGTCTCATGACCCATATAGGGGTTTTGTCAGGTTTTTCTCCTAGGGCTGCCTTGAGAATTCTATCATTCTTTAAAGCTGGAAAGTTCCTGTTTAGAGCCATATCTACACTATCACTATATCACAACACTCCGAATTTTTCCAGGTCAATTATAAACAAAGCGACATAACCTCAACTGCAAATTGATGATGACGTTCTATGATGATGACATGTAATCTTTGCATTACATACATACGTATAATTTATTTGAATGTAATGATGTGCATAATACGCACGTAGTGTTTATACACTGTGGCTTAGTACCGGGATATCGAAAACCGTAAATTATATCAAATTGGTTAAATGGGAAAGCAGCTGCGCGATTAAAAATCTAATAAAATTGTAAACCGTTGATACGAATGAAGACGAAGCATTGTAGGGACGCTCAAATACACGTAGGACAAGGAAATACAATGATTATATAAAGTTTCATTATCCGAATTTTATACAAGCGTCTTACTTCAAGATCCATTGTTTCCAATCCTTTTTGTGCCTAGTTTGTGCGTTCCATGCAAACCATTGGGTACTGAAATAGCATCTGATCCAGATGGAAAAAACTTACTGGTGTTTTCTCAAAATATTTCTTCACTTTCTGTCTATTTTTGCAGCAGCAGCCATACAAAATTCTTCCATATTCACCAAGAATTATATTCTGTTAATATTAATAGCGTTCTTATGGCAATTTAAAACGTTTTCTTTTTCTCTTTCACAAGTTCTGCTCTCCTTGGCAAGGATCCATCATTATATGGCATATATTGTTCACACACATCGGTTTTAAGTGAGTTTTTCACTTTTGTGACGGTGTGCGCTACCAACTCGACCGGCAACATGGAAAAAGTTGCTAGACTATGAAAGAATATTGACAAGATGTAACATTACTGCAAATACTGTAAATTACTGCTTACGAATTCTTAGTACAAAATTAGAACCACTTCGACTGATTATTACGTGCAAGTTGAAACACTGTATAAAGTGCGTTATTAGCTGTCTATTAAATTTAATTAATTTTTTTCCTTGAAAAAACTTTATTCAATTAACATTTACTTACAGTTTACAAAATCTGCACTTAACTTAGATTATGACTAAATAGTATTATGTCCGACATTACTTACAAATAAATAAAATGTCAAAAATAAAAAATCACAAACAAAACTAGCAATTCTGCTATTATAGGACAAATGGCAATAAAATGCGTTCGCTAAGGAACTTTAAAGATCTATATAGTAATAAATAAACTTAATAAAGTAACGAAAATAAAACGGATCTCCATTAATACTAATAGTGCGAAAATGTTAGGACGTTATAAATCTTGGGCAAATGTAAATAATTTGAAAACTATTATTAAAATTGCTTGTCGCCACTTCCCGGTTCTTCTTCGGTTGCTTCCATCTTGTGCTGATCAAATTCAGTTGCAGAGTCGTCACTGTCTTCTTGTGGTGCTGTGGCCAATCGATGATCATTTCTTGGTTCCTCATTAGACTCAGACCTTGATGTAGATTCCTCTTGATGGGGGGGCAGACTATCGTCAAACTCCCGTTTTTTCATTACGCCGCTGGCCTCTGGCACTTTTTCAGCAGATACGGCCATTTCCGTAGTTTCTTCGACACAACCTTCCTGAGCAGGTTCTAGGTTTTCTTCGGAGTGATTCCCTTGAAGGACAGACAATTCGGCCATGAGCCGGTCTTGCTTTGCTCGCATGAGCCCAGTCTGTAATAAAGCACGAATTACAAGTTTGTTACAATAATGTCTTTAGTATACTAACCTTAACACGTTCTTCCTGCTCTCTCTGCAAACGCAGAGACATAGGAAGATCCAGACTTTTAACTCCCGTATGCATATCTGGCATGGACTCAGTACGACCACTAGGTAGAGCTTTTTTGGTCATATTTGGTTTGAAGCGCTGTTGTTCGGGCCGCTTTTCCAAAGAGCACAAACGCATATCATGGGCAGCAGCCATGTTCGTGTCCGAAGAAGATTTCAATGACAGCTCTTTCATTTTTTTGCTTGCTGCATCAAGGTTTTCTCTGAATTTGATTTCTTCCCTCACCTTTTCCAAGGCGGCTTTGAGTTGGTGACCGCCGTCCGGAAGGCGTTCGACTACACTTCTATAAAGTAAAAATATATTGAAACAATGATATCCTTAGTTCAGTCAACGTAAGATGCAATTACTAAATTCATAAATTTAAAATGTATAAATTAGGTTTGAAGATGTTGAAGATGTTTTTCAATGTTCCAGTCAATGGACACGAAAGTTCCGCGTTCATAAAACATTCAGAGAAAATTGCCGAATAATTTCAAATTGTTTAAAAAATCAGAAGTGATCACCTAACCTGCAACTAAAAGGAACTCAGTGGTAAGTATAAACTACGCTAAACAATTCCATGCAAATTCAAGGAAAAAGAAGACTCATGAAAGACCCAACTCTACGAATGAAACCTTCATTTAGCGACTGCTTTAAAACAGCAACTAGGCCGTACGTGAATAAGCAAAATGTCCTAAAGCAATTTGGCGGGTAGCTGCAAAAGACCAACAATTGGGCGAAATCCCAATAAAGTGTTGATTTGGACAGCTAGTAATAAACTCAGACATTGTAGATTGAAAATCAACAACTTCAGTCACTTGAAAACCCACTATTCTAATCAAACACCGTTGAGGACAACAAAGAGTAATTCCGACTAGCAAAGTTTTAAAATATTCTAAAATTGTTTTATGAATCACAATTCAAAATCAAAACTGTAACTAACAAAATGTCAGAGGCTAATATGAGTATCAATTGAGCAAAAACGTGCTCTCAAATTCCATGGAAATTCATCGAAAAACGATTGGATCTGCCAAAAAGACGAGTCGCACCTGAAAGAGCCAATTCTACGAATAAAACGTTCATTTAGCGACTGAGACATTCTGGTAATCAAACACCGTAGAGGACAATAAAGAGTAATTCCGAAGAGCGAAGATAAGTTTAAAAATGTTCGACAAAAATGGTCGAATAATCTGAAATTGCTTTATGAATAACAAGCCAGACTCAAAACTGCAACTAACAAAATGTCAGAGGCCACTGCTGGAATATTGCCAGCAAATTTGCTGCTCATGAAAGAGCCAACTCTACGTGCCATGTCGATTTGACGAGTAGCTGTAGTAATCGAAGCTGAAAAGGACCAACATTTGGAAGAAATCCCTATAAAGTGCAGATTTAGACAATTGTTAATAAATGCACACTTTACATTGAGAATGTTAAAGTTCAGTCATTAGTAAAGCACTTTTCGAAGAATTAAACAGCGCTGAGGATAATAAGGCAGCATTTCCACATAGCAAAGTCACTGTGGCCCTAAAATAATCGACAGATAATTCTCGAATGTTCTGACACCTGATCAAGAACATTAGCAAAATGGCGGAAGGGTAGACTTTCGCCGGTTAATTCCGACATGAACTGCATAGTTGAATAATCTAGAAACGTTTTAAAAATCATGAATGTCTGAAAGTCAATGTGTGATATACATGGTAAAATGATCAGACCAGCCAATAAAACAATTATAATTTAGGCATGACTTGCAGTTCTTGAAACAGGCAAGGGAATAGAACTTTTGATTTGGGCGTACCCTATAAAACGAGAACCAAGTTTTACAGTCATAAGTAAAATAACAGGAACATTTTTAATTAGTTGGATATTACTTACGGTTGGGCCACAAGGGATGAAAGCCGTTGCAACGTCTCACGTAGGGCTTCTAGGGTCATCGTTGTTACATCAATATCGAAGCACATTTTGCTATTTAGATAGATTTTGGCCTCGTATGTTCTTGCTACCACCGTATCTGGTTACGACTCGGAATGAAATGGGATTTATAAAACCGTTGCTTCTGTTCGCAAGGCTATGATTAGTGACAAAAAGCATGGCCAACTGTGCAAATATTAAGGGTGTATGATCCTAGAAAAATATAAACGGCTATTATCTGGAAAACCTCTGGAATATTAAAATTACCTTAAAATTTGTGGAAACCCAAGGCAATCTCACTCAAATTCAATGAAAACAATTAGTTTAATGTACGCAAACTCAAATTTTGTATCGGCCTAATAGCGTCTATCTCTTTCGCGCTCATATGGGAAGTAAAACACACATGACCCGGATTGGTACTTGCCGCTGTATGATTCCAATGGTGTTTTAAAAGAAGATGAACAAGTGATAGGCAACCAGAAAAGCTACAAGACTTTTAATAGACAATTTTTGCCTGATTTTACTTTATAGGAAGACATGCATTACATTGTTTTTTGTTCATTCTGCTTGCTTTAGGATAACAGACTGAGAATGAAAACTTCTCGTTCAACTAGTAATGTTATAAATACAAGCAATCGCTAATTTAAGTGTAGATGTGAAGCAAACTACCTATTCATAAACACCACTTTTTATTTCATGAAAGGAAAGTTCATGGTACAACGACAGAGACCAGAAGAAAACAAAATAAGCAATCTGTTAACATGTTACGTTAAATACTTCCAACATAATTTATGTAATTGTAAATAAAACCATTTCTTATGAAAATTTGGCTATTGCGGTCGGCATTTCGACGACCTTGTTTTCCTGAAGTGTGCTTCAGTATCTATTATGCAATCTCCTTCGGAAACCACTTAAAAAGTTCGAAAAACTAAAATTTACAGACTTTGTTTTGTTTTTTTCTGTCCACTTTCGTAGTTCTTGAGCTGGCAACGCTGGTGGATGTAACACCGAATAACCACAAAATAACCAATATATACATATATAATATATATTATTTTATAAATTTCTTTAATTATTTTTATTTGGATGTTTTCATTTGGCACTCAAGCAATCGCCAGTAAGTAAATGAGTAAGATTAAAGTTATATCGAATGCACCTTGTTAACAAGATAAATGACCATTTTAGGCGTCCAGGTGTGAAACACTTTTAATCCAGTATTAGTTCTAATTCAACATATTGCGAAGATGCTACCATTTCGATATTGTGGCAGGCTTGGAAGGACTATTCGGTTTCGATCGCGTACCAATCATAGAACCTTATGCAGTCAAAATGAGGAAAATCTATCCGATGATCTATCAGAGGTTTTGTCTTCAGACAAGTAAGTTTGTGACCGTTACAGATTACATAAATTAGGTGAACATTTCGTGTGAGTCCCTCCGAATTTTTCGTTTTTTGTTGTTTTATCTTAAAGAACACTATGTTAAGCAGTTTCAGCGAAAAAATCCTGGCTGCTCCATAATTTAAGCTAAAAAACACTTCAAACTTTTAAAATTCGCTTTTCCAAAACCATTTATTTATGCACGAAAATGAGATTGTCGGGTGCTATTTACTAAATCGTGTTTGATGTATTAACAGAATATGGGGGGTTTGCTAAACGTCGAGCTCGCCGAATAAGAGGAACCTTGGGAGTCTTGCAGAATAAAAGTACGATTAGTTTTGGATATCATGTGATATCAGCAGCTCCGGATCTAGTGGGGCTACAGGGGCTACAGTCCCGGGCCTCACGATGTCGGGGGCTTCGGTAAGATCTAGTATAAAACGACGCCGGGGCGCCGTCAAAGGGATTGCGGCTTTTCAAAACGTCGCGACAAGTGGTGATATCGGATCTTTTCTTTAGAAAGGGGCCTCTGCAGGAAACGTAGCCCCGGGCCCTACCACAGGTTAATCCGGCCCTATTAAATTTTAAAATGAATCCGTCCAATATTATGGTGCTATCGTCTTTGGTCACTACTGACTCAGGCCGGTTTTTGCAATGGTTGCAAAATTAAGAAATAATCCGTAGTGTATTAGGGTGTCCCGTGGAAAACTGCCGCCAAAATTGTATCATTCAGAATAAGGCTCTACGTCCTTTTGGAGAAATATTCCGTTGCTAGAGATGTAAAAAGAGTTATGCTGTCCTGAGAATATCATTTTTTAAGAACTGTTCTCTGCTCGTTGGCCAAATATTAATTTTATTGTGGCATGGGATAGCACGCCCAGGAGTGATTAGCTTCCTGACTGGTGCCTACATTTGCACCTGGAAGCTGTTACAGTTAATTTTTTTGTTTGGTATGAATAATTTAGAGCAAAATTTCTCTTCCATTTTGCTAGGTATTTCTTTTTAGTTCGTCTTTACTTTTTACAGGTGGTCCTGGTCATCAGGTCAGTCACAAATAGATGAGTCTTTTGTCACCCAACGTAAATATCATGTGGGCCGGTTGATACCTCCGAAATGGGTTTTGAGAATGTATGATGCTACCTCAGAATGGGGACTTTTTGTCCCCAGGCGATCTGTGGAAATCCTGCTAGGACATATAAAAACTCATTCATATTCGTCCTGGCAGTGAAATTTAGTTGGACTGCTGGCGCGGTTATAATGGTCTGTCCGTTAATACGAGCATAGAACAGTAAATCATAGTAGATATCTTGTGGATCTCGAAACGGTGGTTTATGAAAATCATGTCGAGGCCTATTGTTCTAGAATAAAACAGTTCCTTCGCCGTTTGGGATTCATGCATTCGCCACATATACCAGAATACGTGGGCCAATTCATGTGGTGGCACTTTTATGGGCCGGCACATCAGACTTCATACTGTGTCAAATGAGAGATTAGTACCAACTAATCTCTGGTCAAATAGCCGAAATGTCCCCAAAACTAGAAAATGCCAATTGAGCTTGCACGTTTTGTCATAATTTTATCACCGCTCCTTTCTTCACTAAATTTTTCAGGTTTTTCAGATATGAACCCAAGCAACCTTTCTGAGCTAACGCCATAGTAAACTCCGATCCGGGCAGGCTTTTGCAATGATGGCAAACTAATGGATTAATCCAAACAGAATTTAGGTGTTGCGTGAGAGCTTGCTGTCGAAATTGCAACTTTCGCAAATTGTCGTATCTATTCCGAAAATCATTTATTACCAGAGGTATAAGATAGATTGTTCTTGCCCGAAAGGCTTTTTTTGGGAATTGTGCTTTGCTCTCTTAACTCTTGAAAATTCACTGAATTACCCGGGCCTACTGTACAAATTTTAGCTCAAATATGGACGTTTTTCTAAAGTTTGTAAATGTGTTCTAGCATGATTCTATAGACGATACGCATTTTTTTAGAGAAACTACTTTATTTTAAGAGTACTTTAAGGGAAAATTAAAAAGAACTCAAAGAAATAGATAGAACAAAAAATAAATAGACCGTTTTTTTTTCAATTTTTAGTGAATATAATCACATAGCAGAACATTACTTTCATTTGAAGGAAGCTCATAAATGCCTGATAATTCAACCTTACGTTAAATGGGGCCCCAAGAAACTCACTATAACTCCTGAAGAGCAACTTGGTGAAGCAATCGCTCTTATCAACACCTTACCCGCATGGAACGTAAAAGATACAGTTACTGTTCCGATGGATAATTTAGAGAGGAAAACTCTATTTAAAAGTGGCACTATGGATAGAATTAAAAAATTGGTACAAAACAATAGTGATATTACGGCTATATTTGTTAATTCAAGTTCAATAAACAAATCGACTACAGGTATACTTCAGGGTAATTTTAATCGGCCGATATTGGATCGTTACAAAGTGGTTATGCAGATTTTGAAGGCCCATGCCACAAGTAAACATGCTAAATTACAAGTGGCTTTAGCAGAGCTGTATTACGTACAGAGAAAGTCAGAGAAAGACTTAATGTTTAAAACCTATAATACTGAAGCCTTGCGGCTAATGTTTAATGAAAGAGAAAAGAAGATTAAGAATCAGATCAATATTCTAAGAAATCAAAGAAATCTTCTGAGGAATAATCGGAAAAGGATGGAATTTCCAGTAGTAGCTGTAGTAGGTTATACCAATGCAGGAAAAACGTCGTTAATTAAATCCTTAACAGGCGAACAAGCTCTAACTCCTAAAAATCAACTGTTTGCCACTTTGGATGTCACCGCTCATGCAGGTCAATTGCCTTCTGGCTTAGAGGTTTTGTTTATTGATACAGTAGGATTTATTTCTGATATTCCAACAAACCTCATAGAATGCTTTGTTGCAACGTTGGAAGATGCGTTATTAGCAGTAAGTAATTATGTAGTGCTAGTATGTAATTCGGATTAACTTTTGTCTTCATATTTTTTAATTAAAAATTACAGTTGAGTTTTAACTGGAAAATATTAATTCAGCAACTTTTTAAAATTAAATTTAAAATTATATTTTCCTCTATAGCCAGTTTATTTCAGGATGTTATATTGCATATAGAAGACATTTCGTCAGAGAGTTATGAGTACAAACGACAACATGTGGTAAAAACTCTTGAACAACTGGAGAAACAAGTAGGCTGTAAAAATATTATGACTAAAGTGATTTCTGTTGGGAATAAATGCGATTTGGCGGATGGGCGTGATATTAAAGACGCCAATGTATTACTCATTTCAGCAGATAAAGGAATTGGTAATATTAAAATGTTTCATATTAATAGAATTCAGAAGGCATCAATCGTTTATTTTAGGCTTAGAGAAGCTTAGAAGTCAGTTGGAAGAATCTGTATTATACAGAACGGACAGACAGAAAATTGCTATTAGCATACCAAATGGTGGCGACGAGATTCGATGGTTATATAAAAATGCGACAATTTTGGATGAAATACCTGATCCGAAAGATTTGCAATCTATTTCCGTTAAAGCTATTATTACGAAAGCTAATCTCGCAAAATTTAAACATGCTTTTATATAGCTAGATATATGAAAAATGTGTTATTATGATTACATCAGATCTTAGATCTAAACTGTCGAAATTACTTAGGAAAATTGTATTAGGATATATTTACATAGCTTTTAATTATGTGATTATATACTGACCTTTTTAAGACTAGTGTTATGACTTGGTGATTTTTTAATTTCTTTATTGTTAAACAAAATAAATTTGAATAATTGAACTGTCTCACAAAATAATTGTTGCTCATTATGCATACCAAGTATTTGTAAATATATGGATTTAAAAAATGAAAACAAAAATAGTTTGTTCAATGTGTCCCACTACGTAAACCGCCAATGAGTTTACAAAAATCGTACTATAGAACGGTTTAGAACATACGAGGGTATGTCGAATATAAACGGGATGGATTTAAAAAAAAATTGTGGCCGGTCAAAGTTGGTTTTTAGGTATCCTGAGCGACCGCGATGATTTGAATTCCGTTAGCTCGCTTTAGTATTAAAGAGATCATAACCGAACAAGCATGGATTGAGTACGAAAATTCTCACGTTGACTAAAGTTTTGGTTTTCATCTTAACTAGGAATACTATAGTACCTAACAATGTGTTCAGAAAAATGATATTTAATGATATATTTTTTCAAGTTACTGAAATATGTTCCATCGATAAGAATTTCTTTTTAAATACTAGAAGGTATGAAATTTATTATTTTGAGTTGGGTTATTCGTACATTGGAGAAACACTGCAAAAACTATGAGTTGGTTATTTTTGCATAAAAACTACGCTTCTAGATACAATCTAATTATTGCAGCAGATATATTATATTATTATTATATAATATATTATATATAATATTTCTTCCAAACAACCGCCTAATTATCTTTCAAATTAGATAAAGCGTATTGCCGAATTATGTAAATAGTGTACTTAACATACGAAAATAAAACAGTATGCACAATTGTCAAGTAAAACTGATTTTTATGCCCAGAACTGAGGATGTTTCACGTATTATACTCCTTTTTGGTAATATTTGCTCCTACCCTATTAAATTTTTTCCTGTTTTCCTTATTTTCTCACCACTTATTTTCTCAACGTCTTGTATAGGATTTATTATTCGTGAGCCGCTACCGCTAAGTCTCAAGTTCTATAATTTGATGCTTTCGTAAATTATTATCACCTTATGGCAAATATCTAGATGTTAATAATCAGTACGCCCATGCCTAACGCTCTGAGATCGAGAATAGTGCATTCATCATTTTAAATTAGCAATTTAATTAAGATTTATGTTGAAACCGGCAACCATTTCAATTAAATGAAGATGAAAAAATTGTATTATTTCTATTTCTGTGTGAAGCGCATTTACAGAATACAATAAGGATTTTGCTTATAATTTGTTTGCTTATTATAAGTTTGCCTTTAATTCTTCTATTTAAAAACTCTAGGCGACATCTTTAATATTCCCGGTTTCCAAGAAATGTGTTTTACAAAATGAAATTTTTTGTGTATTGTGATGATGTTAAAAGCACATACAAGGTGACGGGCAATAACATTTAGATATTTTGACCCGCAATTCTGGAGATTAAATTACTAAAAAACGTTCGGATAAACGTACTCCAAAAATCGCAATCCAAATTATTATTTGTATTGGAATATTTTGGAAATCGTTTGCAGTAAAAATAGGAAATTCGATGTGGAAATGCGAATACTTGAATTATCTGTGAAAAAACAGTCAGCGGCCCGCTTGCCTGAAAATGCATTTTCATACTCCTGTATGGTACATTGGTTTATTAAAACTCATAGGAAACGGTCTTTTGTAACAAGATAACAGTAAGATAAGACATAATGAACTGTTGTTAGTAAAAAACTTTTGCGAATATCAGATAATTATGTGAATTAATGACACCTTTCGCGCTCCATATACGGAACTAACCAGAAAAAGCTGTAGAAAACATTGCTTATAACAGTACTCTTTACCAGACAAATGTGTGTCTAGTAAAACAGGAAATATGAAAAAAATCTTTACCAGGAAACCGAATTAGTTCAGTAGTTCAGTGGCATCAAAGAGGGCAGTTGATCACAGTTCCACAACAGCCCTCTAAAGTGCAAAGAAGGTACCGCGAATTTTCGCCATTTTTCGCTTTTAGAATTTTATTACTTGGCCAACGTCAAAAAAAATTTCGTTGCCGTTACATTCTGTCTCCTTGAATGAACCACAAAATTCAGTCCGCAAATCACCAAATGTGTTAGGTGTTAAAAGCAGGATTACTCATTTCGGTCAAATGGCGATTCATTCGGATATTTATTTATAATTTTAACCAATTTACATGATTAGAAAACGTAAATTTCGGCAAATAGTGGCATCTTGATTTTCCACTGGAACTATGGAAAATTTCATGTGTGTATTTTCCTTATTAAAAAGAAGATTAGTTGTAAATATACCGACATCCGTAAAACCATTATTAATTGAAATAGTTCGTAAAAAACCGATGTCTATAAACTATTTACTTTGTTAATGCGTGTTAATGTTAATAATAAAAAAATATGCCTAATATGTTTTAAAAATACAAACGAAATGTGTCTTATACAGGGTGAGTCAGCGAAGCGAGACTCCCCCCCTCTTAGATCGTAAAGAAATAGCAATTGAAAAAAAAAACGTTCATATAAAAGTGTTGTGGTTGTCGCCAAAGTATTTGTTTCTGTTACTGTTTTCGAAACCACATTAAACTCGATAAACCATTTCGATCAATTATTCCTTATTATGTGTAAGAAATGTGTAAACTCTTTTCGGAACAGCGCTATTTGCTTAAGTTAAGAGTCCATATAGCAATGTGTAATGTCCAAAATAACACATTTTTAACTTAATTTTCCAACTGTTCTGCAAAACATTTCCTTTATAGCATTTTCAAAAAATTTATGATTTTTTGTATTTATCATATTTTCAAAGTTTAGTAGTATGCGTGTTCGAGAGGCATTAGTGCGGCTAATTTACCACAAAACTGCTTTAAAAAGACCAATACTTTTATTTTATTCTTTTATATTGTCTTACACAGAATGGTGGAGGAACTTTTCTTACATCTGTTCGATAATGACAAACTTTGCAAGCATTCAAACCGTTTCCGCCTCGACACGTTATCAGTGCAATTAGGTTTTGATTTGTACCCCGATTCCCGGCAGGATTTATATTGGCTGAATGTTATAATTTATTGAAAAAAAATCACCTGAATGAAGCGTGAAGTAACAAAGTCATACAAAATAGATATCTTCCGGAAGTACCGTTTAGGTCCGGTTAAGTTGCTAATCGGGTAGTTCATTATATAATGCGTCCGGTTGATAAACACGGTAGCAATGGGCTGGGCGAATTTTACCCCGTTTCACCCCTTGTCAACCGATATTAGATATCCCCATTAATATAAATTAGCCAACCGGTGGAACGCCGGTTTCAACTTTAGACGTTGCTGCTTTGCTGTCCATTCATCTCGTAATTTTTTTCTACCTTTCGCTCTTTTGTTTTTCCTATGGGCTAATCTAATTTTAGTTTACCGCCGGATGCTCATGGCAAAACAACGCAAACGCCTCTATTGTTCGTGATAATATGCAGAGCTAAAAGATAAAATCACAGGCGTGCGATATCAGTGTCGGAGCAACGACCTTCTCATAATGTAACGATGTTTTTACTAGATTTGTTTTATTTCGAAATTATTCTGTTCCATCCATATACCTTGCATTCTCCATAATTACTAAGTTTTGAGGGGTTAGAACAGGGTTTTACATAGTGAACGAAATGTCCTTAATCTCGGAAGAACACAGGAAGTGCTATGTGGACATAGCACGGCTACTCGGAAGCTCAGCGTACTAAATCAGTATGCAAGAAAGAACCGCTGGAACTTAGTAGGACAATAAATAACAACAAACAAGGATGATTGTGATAGGCCTGGGTAACACTGTGTTGAGTTGCGCTATTGAGGTGTTGCCGCCCTCTGAGTTAACGAGTTATAACTCATCGGTTAATGAATTATAAGTCATTTATTAAAGCTTTACGAGACCCGAGACTGAAATTTCCACATCTCAAAAAACGTAAATTTTTTTGTATAAAAGATTCAGTTTGCCAATATATTACAGTAAATTGCTAGGAAAAACGCGGTTTTTCGGTTTAGAGACAGTGCCGTTTAGAAATATTGACCTGAAAGTGAAGAAAAGTGAAAAAACCTTAGTTTCCAAGAGTTTTCCAATTTTTTTGTAAACTTTTGCTCTCTGATCGTTTTTTACAGACAATCTTAATTACTTTCGGTAAAAAACTGAACAAAAATTATTTGGTTTTTGTGCCAAACTCGAAGCTGAAAAGGGTTTTCTAAAGTTCCCTGCAAATCGATGAATGAGGCCAATTTTCAAGCAAAATTAAATTTGTCATTTTTGGCTGAAAAGCCCATTATTGCAAGAAAAGTAGGAAATCATCAGAAAATAATGTTTTTTTTTAGTTTTGTGATCGGTTTTGGAGAAAACCTTAATGGTTTTCGGGAAAAAACGGGAGCAACTTATTTTAGCTTTGTCTCGAATTCGACGCTGAAAAACGTTTTCGTAAAATTTTTACAAAGCTATAAATTTATTTTGTAATTTTTAGCGTAAAAGACCCCCAGATTGTCAGTATTTTTCAATAAAACTACAAAATAGAGCGTTTTTAAGTAGAAAGTGATGCAAAAAAATCAGTCGAAACTAAAAACACATTTTTTTTAACAAACTCTGCAGACTTTAGATGAATGGAGGTGAGGAGATTTCCAAATAATCTGTTATAAACTTTCGCATATTCTGTTCGATTTTTGATAGGAAATTATTTGATTTTTGTTCCAAATTCGGTGCTGGACAAGGATTTCAAAACTTTTTACAAAGCGACCAAGAATTCGGAATTCATTTAATATTTTTTCACGAAAAATTCCTTAAGTTTGTCAGCATTTTTAAGTGAAACTTTAGAAAATTGAGCATTTAGAAGAAAGAGTAACTTGGCTAAAACTGGAAAATTCTGAAATTTTGAAGCCATTTTCAGATTGGCTACCTTCATATTGATAGAAAATCGTATATTAAAGAAAAACTGTTCCGATTTTTGTATGGTGCGTTGACGCAAGTTCTTTTTCTACCGCCGATTAACATTTAAACTGAGAACAGGGACATTTTTACCCCAATCAATCGCGCGATAAGGAACGATTCCGCTCAGATAGCTTCTAATATTGTTACCGTAACACCGTGTTGCAACATCTAGCTGAAACCACATATTTTAACAAATCGCTGAACATCTTCATATTTAAGTAGATCA